AAGTACGCACACAACTCCAGAGAGTTGATTCTGACTACCATTGGCATCAGGGCAGCATTTGACTTTGAATGGCATCAAGGAGTCCTAATGAAGTTGTAGTGAATGGGAACAACTTTCCATTGACTCGAATCATATGTAGCACAATGGAATGTAGTTGTGATTGTTGGAGACACTTCATCTCAGCCCCACAACATTGCTCAGGAGTTTCTTGGGCTAGGCCAAATCATCTTATCTGCTTCATCAATTAGCTTCCCTCAAGATGAGGTGTGGCAATATTTTGTTGATGGAACAGCACTGAATACTGTGTAACCAATATGAAGCAGTTAGTGTCCATATGAGAATAACCTGAATGATGTTCAGACTTGGATTGATAATTGGCATAATCTCCAACATCAGATAACATTTTGGGAATTGGATTGACCAGAAACTAAACTGAACATAAAAGCTGAGCATACAAGAACAGTTAAAGTGGGTAACCCTACCCATGATTCATCAAAGCTTATCTACCATCTACAAAGCAAAAGTCAGTCGTTAGATAGAATATTCTCCACTTAATAATATGTCATAATAGCGCTAATAATTCTAAAGTTTAAGGTTACTTCAAAAATTTTGATCACTTGCAATTTGAACGTAAATGAAAGCCAGAACTGTTACTGAATATGAATAATTAGGTAATGTATTACCAGTCATGATTATCAAATCTTTAAAGTTCTTCACCAATGGATAAATATGGCTGAATTTCTAGTCCTTCCATATGACTGTAAATGATAGGAAGTAGCTATTGTCCTCTTAGCACTATTGCAGTGACCATAAAAATGTTCAATGGGTAACCAAAGTTACACTGAGTCAGATGATCAGCCCAATTAAAATTAAAATCAGAACTAATTACATTTACCTCTTCCAAAGACCCCCATCCCTGAACAGGTCTATGTTCTTCACCCAGTTCACCTGATTGTGTATCAGCCCAAAGCTGGCTGACAGCACTCAAATTCCAGCCATATCCAACTGTCTCAATGTAAGAGAGGCCTTGTTCTCAATATTGACCAGGCTTCCTGCTGGAGGATGCAAGGGAATTGTGCTTGGAGATCTTGCTAATTTTTAAAATATGATGTTCTAGACATACAAAATGAAAATTACTGTGGAAACTGAACAGGCCTGGGCAGCATCTGTAAGGAGAAAGCAGAGTTAATATTTGGGTCTGGTGACCCTTCTCCAAAGAAGTTCAGATTTGTTTCAGACTTCCAACATCCACAGTTCTTCTGTTTTTTTTAATGATCTAGTTTACGCCTAGTTAACACAAAATAAATGTAGACACAAGCCTGATAGATTTGTAGCATACTAATGTGCAAAACTAATTCTTAGATGAATTCAATGTATGTGTCTCAGTCTTTTCTCTTACATTCAAATCCATTTAAAAATATATGCATGCCATCTGGACCTAGTTGAACAATCTCACAGTTTGATCTTTGTCATATCAGGAGCATTACAATCCTTACTGTCGGTCATTTAGCTCATTTGGTCTTTAAAATTTGGTTCAGAGTGGGTTTTTTATTTCCTGTGGATAACTTCTTAATTGTGTAATTATAATCTTTACATAAAATATACAGCGATGTTTAATTTGGAGAGTTAGCATTGCATAAATCACTTCTGGGCAAAAATAAAATAACCTTTCAGTTATTCACACATGATTGATTGCCATTGTCAATTTGAAAGCCAGTGGTCAAATTACTTTATTGAGTCAACATTTTAGCTTGACTTAAAAAGTGACGTGGTTATTAGTATTTTGCTGAAAGTGACAGTGGCAAAGGACCTGTAAATTTTAGTGTATGGTCTTGAAAATTAAAAACGGTAAAAAAAAATCAATACGTTCTACGTCATTGAACACAGATGACTCATCTTTTACCTTAACTCTTAGTTCTTCAGGTGCTTCTTTGTACAGTCACTAAATATAGCGCAACTAATAGCTTGTCAGAACATTTCTATGACTAACAGATAAGTCAGTTTCAGCATTGATATATATTTTGTATTGAATGTATTGATTTTCATTGAATATCCCTGCTTTACCAGTGTGTGCACATAAGCTTAGGAAAGCTGTGAAAAGTGAAAATGTCCTAGGTTTAAATGAAAGCATATAGGGATACTGTAAAAAAAAAAGTGTTGCAGGTATTTTTTTTTTGAAGTTCACAGATTCTACAAGTGCATATTATGTAGTAACATATGTGAATCATAAATTACATTAAAGTAATCCATGAAGTGTTATGGGATAACTATGAGGCTTACTTTTGATGTTGAATTGTTTGTTCTAATCTGCAATTTTACCACAATTATCTGACTTTTGAATATGGTACGGTGGTAATGGTATAGTACTATTGTCACTAGCATAGTAATCCACAGCCTTAGACTAATGTTATGGTGACATATCCCACCATGACAGAAAGTAGAATTTTAATTTAATAAAATCTGCAGTTAGGAGTAGAATAACAGTGACATGTAACTATTATTGATTATCATAAAAAGCCTTCTCATTCACTAGTCTCCTTTAGGAATGAAAATCTACTGTCTTTACCAGGTCTGGCCACAGTAGTATGAAGAACTCTTAACTGTCCAGTGAAGTAGCCCAGAGAAACAATCAGTTCATGGGCCATTAGGGATTGACCACAAATGCCAACATCAATGCCATAATCCCTTGCAAGAATAAAAATATCGTTTTCAGATAAATGCCTATCGCTTAAATTTTTATCCATCTCTTTCTGCTTTCAATCTGTAGCATTTCCATCCTGTTATTGCTTCATAATTTTAAAATGTATGTTTTTTTATCTCTGCACCTGAATCTATAGAAGCCTGCAATTCTAATAGTTTACTCAATCCTGTTTCTAATTCAAATACTTTTCACACACAATTAGCAAATCAGTCTTCAATCAATCGTAGCAAAAATGACTTGAGTTGTTCTTTCATACCTTTAACATAATAGTGATTTTTTTCCTTTATCCTGCTGATTCATTATCCTCGTTCAGCTGCATTTTTAATCCTCTGCTCCAACATACAAAATCATTTATTTAATTTCACACTTGTGAGAGTTTATTTTACTTTATGATAGTAGATACGCTGGAACTTGGCTGACACCTATTGGCACCATCTTATTTGTCTTGGAACTAAATATTTGTATTGTTTAAAACCAAAGTTTTGACGTTTTTTCGCTATCGATATCATTCACTTCATGTCTGTGCCTTATTTCAATGGTTATTGATTCTGATGCCTTCCTTCTGATCTTTATGTTTCTGTGTTTTATATATGACCTGTAGGAAATGCTCAAAGACCACAAAACTAGCTGGAATAGTTCTTCATTTCCAGAAAACGATGCTTGATATTTCTCTCTGGCTGTAGAGGACAAATACTTTCTGGCTTAGCATGAATAGCACTATCATGAGATCTTAGAAGAACTGAATTCAAATCAGAAGTTGTACTTTTGTTGAAGGCATTAATATCCTTATAGAAATATTACCATGGTTACTGGAGGCTAATCATTGATGCATGACCTTCACAGGACTCTGCTCATAATGCAGCCATTTCATTGGTTCAATCATAAAGTCAAAAGTAGAGTTGTTTGCTGATGTTTCCATGGGCCCTGGCTTCATTCACAACTCTTCTAATAATGATTTACATTACCTACCTACATCAATTGGCAGATAACACTGCACCACACCTAACCAGGAAAAAGCCCAATCGTTGTCCCCTGACATTCCACAGTATAATACACCCTGAGCCCACAACCATCAATATCTTGAGGATCACTGTGGATCAAAAGGTTAGCTTGTAGGGGAGAATCTTTTATCTTGTTATCCATAGCTATCCAGATTGCACGTTAATAAAAGCAGGTACTTTAAATGTGGCACAAGTAACAGGGTGAAAACAAATATATTGTTATATGGAATAATTAATTAATAATTTGGAAGGCTAATACATACAGCAAAGAGAAGGAATAGTGGGCCACATGTGAAGAAAGCTCAACATAAGGGCCCGTTTTTGATGTACTATAAGTTTGTAAAGGAGAGAGGACTTAAGGTAATTTTGGCTGTAGATTTCTTTTCCAAATAAGCAAATAGAATTTTTAAATAAACACTGTAAATAACCGAAAGGTCTCATTCACTCTAAACATTTCACTTCTGCTAATACCTCATGTAGAATCACTTCAAGACTGAAGGCAGTGATTTCACATCTCGCATGACCCAGGAGCTTTGGGTATAAACTACCAGAGTAACAGGTGTGCCTGTGTGCTGGTCAACTTATAGCTATAGCATACAATATCGTTCATACATAAGTAGTAAATAACACTATTACTACGATCATTAAACTATGAACTGCTGCTGTTCCACCTGTGGCATTTAATGCCCCCATACCCTCCCATCTGTTCCACATTCTCTTCACCTTACAGGACCTAATTGAGTGGTCCTCACTGATGACCTGACTGGGCATGCCTAGTAGCTGTCAACAGCTCACCTATCCATTGAATGAGACCCAGTTCCAGTTCAGGGAACTTATTTCCAAGCTAGTGCCTGACTTGCTGAGGAGATAGAATGGGAGAAATTGAAGCAGAGCGTTGGTGAAGGAAAAAGCAGGTCAACACTGAGGATGCTGTACTGACCAATACAGTTCACTGAAACCAAACACTGAAACAATGGTGCAGAAGTAAGAAAAGCTAATTGCACTGTGTTTAAACTTGTAAGTCATATTAGTTTTTTTTATGCTAGAGGATAATGCCCACCATGTTAACATATATACTCATTACACAAGTTTGTTTTAAAATATGGGTATCGCTAATAGAACTGTCAATGTTCAAGCTGTAACCATCCTAATAAATCATTGAATACCTTTTGTTTTCATGACTAACCCCATTTTCTGTTCTCAGAGGTTAGCATGAAGCAATCACATGTTCTTTACTGACGTTATCCAAATCTTGATTGCATTTACGCCATTTAAATCCTTTTTAATTGTTGCTGTAGGTATCTGATTTGGTGATAATCCTGAATCAGAAGCGTGCAGTTGATGCTTTTGCAAAAGGGGGAAATCTCACACTAGGTGGAAATTTTACTGTTGCAATTGGGCCCATTGGCAGGTCAGTAGTTATATATTTATGCAGTATTAACAAATAAGTTTTATGTTCTTTCATCCTCGTATTAAGTTTAATGTAAACTTTTTCAGATAGTATTTTGCCCATTTGATTTTTTTTTGTATATAGTTTGTTAATCTTGTGTTTATTTTACCGAACCTCTGAAAAACAACAAACTCTTGTCAGATGATGGACTTAAATGGGAAGGCAAGTATGAAGTGATTACATTATCTTCAAATATCAGTGTCCCATTTTAAATATAAAAGAAAATCTCCTTAACGCTCCCCATCCCTGCCACCAGCACTTTTTCTGCTTAATGTCCAACCTTCCTTTTCTATCTAAGGTTTTTGAACAAGCACATCTTTCACCAAAATACATGTTTGATTTCCTCCAATCAAGTTTATTGTACTGTAACATGTGCTTATTAACATCAAATGGTTTCCTATCTGATTGTGACCATGGTAAACTATTCCTGCTCAACTTGTGTACAGTCTCTGACATGGTTGACCACCACACCAAGCCCCTCCAATATCTCCATCATCTTTAGGTGAGCAGATCTGCACTCATCTGACTTAAGACTTACTAGTACAGGCATAGCCAAAGAATCATCTGAAATGGCTTATCTTCCATTTTTTGCACTGTTATCTCTGGCATCTTCCGAAGTCTCCTCTCATTTCACCTTGGCAACTTCATCCGAAATTGTAACAAGCAATTCCACATGAATGCTCAAAAAACCCAGCTCTACCTCACCACCAATCTGCCCTTGGCCCACACAGTTCTGCTCCGAGAAAAATGCTGAGGGCAAGCTGGAACTGGGAAATGAAATTTGGTGATCTCTATGTCCTTGCCTTCCCTGCCTCAAAGACCAAATTAGATATAGGTTTCTTTGTCTAAGTGTTTATTGATGCATACATGGGAGGTGTACCCATTAAAGATGGTGCGCAACTCTCCGAAAACAATGCTTACATTCTATTTTTACAGATAAAAGGTTTCCAATAAAAAGCCGTACATTCACATACTTATGTCGATCTAACAGTATTCATTCTATTTTACATTCCAAGTTAGTATACAATCATATTTAAATTTGTAAACATGATTGTAATAGTTGATCAAGTTATTAAAAGGTTACATGAGTATATTATCCAATTAAATAAATACATCTTTGCATTTACTGATTCTAAGTCCGCACTATATAATTATCAAATCTCTTTATTATCCTTTACCCCCTTTCAGTGCAAGATGCTGCCATAATCACACCTTCCACTCTTCTCCCACCCTTTCAGCATTCCAAAATGGCTGTTCCTTCCAACCTCCTGGTTCATTCCTCATTGACATCCCCCATACTTCAGTGCCTTCCCAATTTGATGATGCAACACCTATCCTTTTACTTCCTCCCTTCTCACTGTTCAGTGCCCTAAATGCACCTCCCAGGTGAAACTACAGTTTACTTGTTTAAATTTAATTTACTGTGTTCATTGCTTACAGATCATGCCCTCCTTCATTGGTGAGACTAAGCACAGGTTTGGAACCTGACCATTTCGTGGAATAATTCTGTTTTGAACCATTGGTGTCTGTACCAGACGTCTAAATGAGCATCTGTCTGAGTGCAGTTCTCTTTCCTTCTCCTTTTAAGGCTGCACATTTCTCCGTTTCAAATGACTATCTAATTCTCTTCTCAACGCCTCAGTTGAACCTGCTTTCATCATAATCTCAGGCAATGCATTTCAGAGCCCATGTGAAAACATTTTCCTCATATGATCTACTCGCTACTTTAAACGTGTGCCCTCTGATTCTCGATCCTTTCACAAGTGGGAATATTTCCTCCCTAATTATCCTGTCCAGAGATTCAAAATGAATCTGGAGTAAATGCAAAGAGAAACAGTCTTGAGATTGGAGAAGCAGTGAGCAGTTGGTTGTGCAAGAAATATGAATAACCAAGGGGAGGGGGGTTTCATCATATGAGGGAACAAATTACTGCAGATGCTGGAATCTGTACTGAAAACAACATATGCTGGAGATCACAGCAGGTCAGACAGCATCCATGGAGAGAGAGCAAGCTAACATTTTGACTGTAGATGACTCTTCAGAGCTGAAGTGAAGTGTGGAGGGGACAGCATTTATGCTGTAGTTTGGGCTGAGTGGTGTGTGGGTTAGTGGGTGTAGGTTGCTGGTGGAGAAAAGATGATGATAGTTCAGATTAAGTGATCGGGAAAAATAAAAACCGTTCTGAGGAAGGGTCACCAGACCCGAAACGTTAACTCTGTTTTCTCCTCCACGGATGCTGCCAGACCTGCTGAGCTTTTCCAGCAACTTTGTTTTTGTTAAGTGATCAGGATGTGTGAATGGCAGAATGGTGTGTCTCCTGCCAGACTTGAAAGGACAGTAACTTGGATTGGGGGAGGGGAGGACATGATAACACGCTGAAAGGAAGGGAAGAAATGCCTCTCAATTTAAAGGTATTGAACTCAATATTAAGTCCAGAAGGCGGTAAAGTGCCTAGTCTGAAGATGAGATGTTGTTCCTCCAGCTTGCGCTGAGAGTCGCTGGAACACTGCAGCATGCCAAGGACAGACATGAGGGCATGCGAGCAGGATGCTGTTAAAATGACTGGCCAACTTGATAGTGATTTTGACATAACAACTAGGAGTAATGCTCTGGGATAAACAGCAATTGTAAAACTGAGGTTTTCAGTAAACTTTGCAAGGAAGTAAACGAGAATAAAATGTTAAAGTATTTAGGAAGAGCAATTATAGTTTAAAATCAAGCCAGTTAAAGACTAAATAGAAACCAAAAGAACTGCAGATGCTGTAAATCAGGAACAAAAACAAAGTTGCTGGAAAAGCTCAGCAGGTCTGGCAGCATCTGTGAAGGAAAAAACAGAGTTAACGTTTCGGGTCCGGTGACCCTTCCTCAGAACTGATAGTCGCTGGGAAGACATCAGTTTATATGCAGAAAATAGGGAGGTGGATGGGGTAGTTAGTAAATGATAGGATAGAGCCCAAAGAGAGAGAAAGACAGTTGGACAGACAAAGGAGTTGCTAACGATCAGGCTGGGAAGGTGAATAGTTGTTAATGGGGACTGTTAGTGACTAACAACAGTGGGTGTGTAATGGCAGGCTGTGGGGTAACAAAGTCTGGTGTGTGGGGTGGGGGACTGGGACATGGGAGAGTTTAAGCCCTAAAATTATTGAACTCAATATTGAGTCCGGAGGGCTGTAGGGTCCCCAAGCGGAAAATGAGGTGTAGTTCCTCCAGCTTGCGTTGGGCTTCACTGGAACACTGTAGCAAGCCAGAGCCAGAGACGTTGGCCAGGGAGTAGGGTGGTGCATTGAAGTGGCAGGCAACGTGTAGTTCAGGGTCTTTTTTGCGAGTAGAACGTAGATGTTCTGCAAAGCAGTCGCCAAGTCTGTGCTTCATTTCCCCAATGTAGAGGAGACCACATTGTGAGCAGCGAGTGCAGTAGACTAGATTCTGGGAAGTGCAGGTGAAGTGTTGCTTCACCTGGAAGATATGTTTGGGCGCTTGGATACTGGGGAGGGAGGAGGTAAATGGGCAGGTGTTGCACATTTGCCGGTTACAGGGGAAGGTGCCGCAGGGCTGTGGGGAGGTGTTCGGGGTGAAGGAAGTGTGGACCAGGGTGTCCCGGAGGGAATAGTCCCTGTGGAAGGGGGACAAGGGAGGGGAGGGGAATATGTGTCTGGTACTGGCATCTTGCTGGAGGTGGCGGAAGTGGCGTTTTCACAATTTTCTGAAGAAGGGTCTCGACCCGAAACGTCAGCTTTCCTGCTCCTCTGATGCTGCTTGGTCTGCTGTGTTCATCCAGCTCTACACCCTGTTATATCAGAAGATCTTAACAACTGTGATATTACAGCAGCACAACTTTGTGGGATCTGTGTTTGGTGGTTTTTGGGCCAAACTGCAGTTATATGAAGCACTGATTGAGTTTTGGACAGGTTGAAAAGTAAGAATAAGGAACAAGGCAATCTTCAGAGGAATTGAGCCATCCAGAGACAATGAAAGTTTGTTTTGGGTGGAAGAGACTGGTTTATCACAGGAAGAAATAGGCTCTTGATGGGGGCTGAAACGTGGGTTTGAATCACAACTTAATTATCAGACAGAACTTCATGATTTTGAAGTGTTGAATTTGTCTTGAGCATATAGGTAGAAAAGAGATTTGTGGAGTGCAATGTTTCCAGCAGAAACAATGTACGGTAGAGTTTGTCTTGATTATCTTGAGTTGGTGAAAATTCTTGCTGATCTGTCACTTCATGTCAAATGAGGAGTTCAGTAGCAGTGTAGAGATAGAGGTGTAATCACAAGTGGTGGAGTTGAAAGTGAGGTGGGGAATTAATTTATAGCAGTAAATCAAATCAGTGACATAGTGATGGTATCTTACCATCCTTATAAACTTTGAAGTTCTGATGAAACTTTATGTAAACATTATGACCCCTGATGTTATATTTAAATATTATTAAAAGAGAAAATTAAATATTCACAACCCATAAGTCCTCATCTTTCACAAAGTCTTTTCTTTATTAAAGAAAGTACTTGCATTTGTATAGCAATATTTTTACTGTTGGAATAGTGCCACGGAATCTTTTATATCCGAGTGATTGTGTATATGGTCTCCTAGTTTAACACTCATTGAAGGCCTTGGCAATATTGAGCTAAATGTATAATCTTAGCTAATGTGCCTGAGTTTCTGGAATGGGCCTAGAACATGTTGACTCAGATGTACAACTGAACTAAGTCTGATGCCACTGTGACTGAACAAAACCTGAATTGGTACCTTCAAAGATAGTAGGAACTGCAGATGCTGGAGAATCCGAGACAACAAGGTGCAGAGCTGGATGAACACAGCAGGCCAAGCAGCATCATAGGAGCAGAAAGGCAGACGTTTCGGGCCTAGACCCTTCATCAGAAATGGGGGAGGGGAAGGGGGTTCTGAAATAAATAGGGAGAGAGGGGGAGGCGGATAGAAGATGGATAGAGGAGAGGATAGGTGGAGAGGAAACAGACAGGTCGAAGAGGTGGGGATGGAGCCAGGAAAGGTGAGTGTAGGTGGGGAGTTAGGGAGGGGATAGGTCAGTCCAGGGAGGACGGACAGGTCAAGTGGGCGGGATGAGGTTAGTAGGTAGGAGATGGGGGTGTGGCTTGAGGTGGGAGGAGGGGATAGGTGGGAGGAAGGACAGGTTAGGGAGGCGGGGACGAGCTGGACTGGTTTTGGGATGCAGTATGGGGAGGGGAGATTTTGAAGCTTGTGAAATCCACATTGATACCATTGGGCTGCAGGGTTCCCAAGCGGAATATGAGTTGCTGTTCCTGCAACCTTCGGGTGGCATCGTTGTGGCACTGCAGGAGGACCAGGATGGACATGTCGTCTGAGGAATGGGAGGGGGAGTTGAAATGGTTCGCGACTGGGAGGTGCAGTTGTTTATTGCGAACCGAGCGTAGGTGTTCTGCAAAGCGGTCCCCGAGCCTCCGCATGGTTTCCCCGATGTAAAGGAGGCCACAACGGGTACAGCGGATGCAGTATACCACATTGGCAGATGTGCAAGTGAACATCTGGTTGATGTGGAAAGTCTTCTTGGGGCCTGGGATGGGGGTGAGGGAGGAGGTATGGGGGCAGGTGTAGCACTTCCTGCGGTTGCAGGGAAAAGTGCCGGGTGTGGTGGGGCTGGAAGGCAGTGTGGAGCGGACAAGGGAGTCACGGAGAGAGTGGTCCCTCTGGAAAGCAGATAAGGGTGGGAAGGGAAAAATGTCTTTGGTGGTGGGGTCAGATTGCAGATGGCGGAAGTGTCGGAGGATGATGCGTTGGATCTGGAGGTTGGTGGGGTGGTGCGTGAGGACGAGGGGGATTCTTTTCTGGTTCTTATTGCAGGGACGGGGTGTGAGGGATGAGTTGCGGGAAATGTGGGAGACACCCCCCAGTCGCGAACCATTTCAACTCCCCCTCCCATTCCTCAGGCGACATGTCCATCCTGGGCCTCCTGCAGTGCCACAACGATGCCACCCGAAGGTTGCAGGAACAGCAACTCATATTCCGCTTGGGAACCCTGCAGCCCAATGGTATCAATGTGGATTTCACAAGCTTCAAAATCTCCCCTCCCCTCTACCACATCCCAAAACCAGTCCAGCTCGTCCCCGCCTCCCTAACCTGTTCTTCCTCCCATCTATCCCCTCCTCCCACCTCAAGCCGCACCCCCATCTCCTACCTACTAACCTCATCCCGCCCACTTGACCTGTCCGTCCTCCCTGGACTGACCTATCCCCTCCCTAACTCCCCACCTACACTCACCTTTCCTGGCTCCATCCCCACCTCTTCGACCTGTCTGTTTCCTCTCCATCTATCCTCTCCTCTATCCATCTTCTATCCGCCTCCCCCTCTCTCCCTATTTATTTCAGAACCCCCTTCCCCTCCCCCATTTCTGATGAAGGGTCTCGGCCCGAAACGTCAGCCTTTCTGCTCCTATGATGCTGCTTGGCCTGCTGTGTTCATCCAGCTCTGCACCTTGTTGTCTTGGTACCTTCTAATGTATTTTTCAAATTAATACGTATTTTACCAGGTGTTTATTGTTTTCAGAAACTTCGAGGGAGACGTTGCTGTTAGAAATACAGCAGCTGTCTACACATACTGCAAGTCACGTGGGTTGTTTGCTGGAATATCATTAGAAGGATCTTACTTGATTGAAAGAAAAGAGACCAATCGCAAGTAAGTTGTAGTTAGAGCCAAAAAATGTTCTTCAGTTGAAGTATTCTGTCAGATATGTATAATATATTGTACAAAAATAAAATTACATTTATGTTGACACACTGCCTGTTTCTGTGCTGTATATCTCTATGACTGTGACTGCAGAGTCACAGAATGCAGGTTCTGTCTGGAACTTATCACATGATGAGTAAGCAAATCCAGAAGGAGATGTAAGAGAGACATCAAGTGGTGACAAAACACATAACTGTGGTGACCATTTCACACATCTCAATTTAGACTATCCAAAGAGGAATATCCACATTCCCCATATGTTAATTGCATTGATATGTGCATTTGTATAATCTTGTATATTTCACATATATTTTCACCTAACACTTTGTCTGTCTTTATTTATGTATGTCTGTGTGTGTGTACATGACAGTGACTTTTGATAAATGCACAAACATGCACATGAAATGTTTTAATGTGGAGAGATTGATGTACTGAAGCTACCACAGCGCTATGACTGACCAGGAAACAGCTCCGCTCTTTCTGCCTCCCAAATGCATGCCAGAAGGATTTAGAAATTTATAATCAACCTGTTTGGCTGCGGTGTAGCGAAACTTATATGGCCATCAAGTTCTGAAGTGGTAAGCTTCTGGTTAGAGGAAGGGACTTATATGACTGTGCTACAAGATTTTTTAGTCAGCTGTAAATCCAATCTGAGATTTGCATACTCTGTCATAGGTTGGGTAGATGGTCCTTTAAGAACTCAGTGAATGAACTGTCTGGAGGTTTGCATGCTACTACCAATGACTCAACTTTGCCTCTGCTCATTCTTTGAAATTTAGAAACATAGGAAATAGGAACAGGAATACGCCATTCGGTCCTTCGAGCCTGCTGCACCATTTAACATGATTGTGGTTGATCATTCAACTCAGTACCCTGTTCCTACTTCCACCCCATATCCTATGATCCTTTTAAGCTCTAAAAGCCATATTTACCTACTCCTTGAAACCAACAAAGTCTCTCAGTGTGTTTAGTCACTTGTCAGATGAATCATCTCCATTTCATTCAATCACAAGCCAGGATTGCCTATGAGTTGGTGGTCATTTTTGACCTTCAGGAATGCTTTCAGCAAGCGCTTCTGCTGTAGTCAGAACCAATTCTGATCAGAGCAATGCTTCGGGAATTTATTGTCAGGTATGCAAGCTATGTGTCCTGCCCAGCTGGGTTGGTTTTGAGTGGTTAGTGCTTTGATGAAGGACTATCTGTTGGACTATCTTTCTTGCCACGGGATTTGGAGCATCTTGCAAAGGCACTCTTTGTGCTATTTCTGGAATGGTGTCAGGTGCCTGCTGTGGGTTGTCCAAGTCTCCAAAGTTAACAAAGAAAATGAACACCGTTATTATTGACTCGCACATGACTTATAGGGCTTGCATGTTACAAAATGTTTCATTAATAATAACAACTCATTCCACACTGCAATAACATTTGTTCTAAGAATAAATCATTTTTGATATAACATCTTCACTTAAAATGTATTAAATGGAGAGAATCTCCAAACATATTTCTACTCGAATATGATTTATAACCCATTAACTGATTCGAAAGATCTACTCCGGAATATGTCTTTTGCTGGCACCGCCCACACAAATGATCATGAGTCAAAATCAAAATTATGAGAATCCAATACCTGCAAAAGACTTATTTCAAACTAGATCGTTAGAATCAGCTCCTGGTTTACAAATTGTACTCTAGTAGAAATATGTTTCGAGATGCTCATTATTTCATACATTTTAATTGAAAATGGTTTGTCAAAAATTATTTCTTTTTGAGCTTGTGTTATTATGTTGGTATTTCAAGGCTCTTAAATTGGGTTTTCTTTTTGTAGATGGCAGGCACATTTTAATTGTTTACTCATTAAAATATTTGCTATGCCAATAAATTGATTAATGTACACCAATAGAACTAGGAATTGATTCAGCTTGCTTTTTTCTTCAAGTAATTTAGTTGCAATCTCTGATAGAGGCTGAGATTGTCCATTCCATTGACGTTTCTGTTGAAGATGATTGCAAATGAAGAAACCTTGTCTTTTGTACTGACAGGCTAATCCCTTTCATCAATGAGGAGGGGAATGTTTGGAGGACCTTTTCCTCCTTTAGTTGTTTAATTGTCCATGACCATTTGCAACTCATTGCCTTAGGACTGCAGAGCTCATATCTAGTTGGTTATGAGAATACCCAGCTCTTTCTATAAGCTTCTACTGTTAAGTATTCCTGTACTCCTGAATTGTAGCTGCACCAGTTTGACATCACATTTTTAGATCATCTGATGATTTTTGTGGCATGCTGTTCCGCATTGCTCATTGAAACAAGGTTGGTCCTTTGCCTTGATAGCAAGTGTAAAGACAAATATACCCTGAATCATGAGGTTATGGATTTTGCAGAATACAGTTCTGATGCTGATGGCATAATGGGGTCAATTAGTTCAGTTGAATGGATGGCTAGTTTGCGATACAGAATGTTACCAAAAGCATGGGCTCATATCCTGTGCTGGCTGAGGTAAACATGAAGATCCCACTTTCTAGACATTTGACCTTTTTTTGAGACCTTTTTCCTGAAGAAGGGTCTAGGCCCAAAACGTCAACCTTCCTGCTCCTCTGATGCTGCTTGGCCTGCTGTGTTCATCCAGCTCTACACCTTGTTATCTCAGATTCTCCAGCATCTGCAGTTCCTATTATCTCTGCCCTTTTTTTGAGGTGTGGTGACCCTCAGGTTAAATTCATCACCAGTCATCTCCCTCGAATGAGGGCGCAGCCCTGTGTTCCTCTGGGACAATGCCAATTTCACCTTAAACTGACTAATGGGTGTCCAGTTTTGAGCTGCTATATTTATCCTGAAACAATCCCATTTAGCATGGTAGTACTGCCACACAACTTGACGGAAAAATACTCAGTGTGAAGATGGGTTTTTATCTCTAGTGGGATAGTGATGGTTACTCCTACCAGTACTGACATGATTTGATGTTCCTACAATGGCAAGATTATTGAAGATGAGGCCTAAAAAGTTTTTACCTAATGAAGGCTCTGTCATCTGTGGCAGGCACGCTCATGCCCTCAAGGGGTCTTGAAGCTAAGTCCTCCAGCAGTCAACTAGCTTGACCAGTAGTGGTATTGCTGAGCTGCATTTGGGGAATGACATTGGTCTCCCCGCCAGAGTACATTTCACATCCATGTGACTCATTGTGCTTCCTCGAAGTGATGTTTAATACAGAGGATTCATCTGCTGAGGAAGAACATGGAGTGGTGCTCAGCTGGAAGAATCTTTTATTCCTTGAAGCTTCAAGCATCAGATTAAAAGACAATGTTGAAGACTCCTAGGTCATCTCATTCACTTATATAGTAGAATACTACCATTGTTGTCTTGCCTGCATGGTAACTCCATTTTGGGTGCAATTTCCCAATTTTGGGACAAAGCAGAAATGCTTCCTCCAACGTATTGATCTTTCCTTTAACTTTACTCTTCAGGGACAGTTTGATCTGGTTACATGTTACTTGTCATGGTGCACATAATTCAGTCTATACAACACAAAATAACTGTGGGCCTCTTTCTTAACGTCAGAGTACATATTATGAAATGAATTGCTTTGAGTCCCCTTTGTTTTGGTATTAATTTTGTATGAATGTGCCCATACTTGAAAAATAAACACTTGTTAAAAAAAAAAAAAAATGGGGACAGGGCAAGGGAATAGGACTAAGTAGAAAGCTGTCTCATGGAATTGCTAAACATGAACCGAGCTGAATGATTTACTTAAGTACTATACATTTCTATGACTGATGCTTTCTTGCTTATCTAAATTGACATGTGATGTGACATTTAGGTCTACATTTTTAAGTTCTTAATAAATGTATTGTAGTACATGCCTATAATGTACTGTATGACATTATAGGTTGTCATTTGTACAATAGTTTTACATTTATGAAGTGAATAAAAGTAGAGGAATCAGTGCGTAATGCAGACATTGCTAGTCTAAAATATGTTGGTCCATGTCAATATTGTTTACCTAGGTTTTACTGCGAGGACATCCGAGCATGTTCAATTTTGTATGGCGATGTTGAGCCTCCAGCTGTAGCCCATGAGTTGTATGACATATTGAATACATTCGATGAGCAGTACCAGAAGGAAGAACAGCGTGAAAATAAGAAAAAAGTAAGAAGAGCACAAGCAAAGGTTTGTGTTACGTTTTATCATGTACAAAATTGGAGTGTATGTTTCGTTTAGAGCACGTGAGACTGATCTTTCATTTATATGTTAATTAAAAAGTGAACAACAGATGCAACAGTTTGTTACTTAATTCAAATCCAGAAGAATAAAAAAGTTGCCTATCTTCTATTATCATATCTTTAGGATAACTGGCTCCAAGCATGTGGAAAAGCCTTTCTCTTTCTGACATTTACCTTAGTTCAGTTGGTGATACACTTCTTCCCTCTGAGTTGGTCATTCCATAATTCAGAGACTTGAGCACAAAAACTAGGCTGATGATTATAATGTACTGGAGAGTAATGTCTTTCAGATGAGATGGTGAATCAAATCCTCATTTGCCATATCACATGGACAGAAAATATTTAATGGAACTGTTCAAAAATCATGGAGATTTTCCTGGCTTCCTGTCCAAATTTATCCCTAGTCAACAATCTCTAAAATTGATCATCTAGTCCCTACTCTCATTGCTTGTGGGATCTTGCTGCAACCAAGTTGGCTTTCCACGATGAATAGAATCCGTACAGTGTGGAAGCAGGCCATTCAGCCCAACAAGTGTACACTGACCCTCAGAGCATCCCACCCAGACCTATCCCCTTATAACCCGCCTAGTCTACACATTCCTGAACACTACGGGGCAATTTAGCATGGCCAACCCACCTGGCCTGCACATCTTTGGACTGTGGGAGGAAACCGGAGCACCCAGAAACCCACGCAGACATAGGGAGAACATGCAAACTCCACACAGACAATTGCCCGAGTTTGGAATCGAACCCGAACCAATGCCTATATAAACAAGGTGACTTGACCTTTACTGAAGTCTTGTTTAGCAAAGTTTTCCCTGGTCAATTTGCTTCACCTGATTCTGCCCATCTTTGAAATTATATACATCACTGTGCATCCTTGATATTTCTGAATCATGGAGTGTATCAGATTTTAATTTTTTCTGAGCTTACAGTGATCTGGGGTACCATTTTACTATTTTCTGAACGCTTTCAAGATAAATTTGCTACTGCAAAGCCAATATTTGGATTATTTTTTGATTTTAATATGTTTTCTTTTGTCCTGTAGTACTTCTATGTTTTATTTTTAACTATTAATATTATACCGATAGTATTATTACCAATATTAAACCATATTATCCTTCATTGTTTCAAAGGAACAATTGTCCAGGCAGTTGAACTTGCCAATTGGTCAGATTTGAATTTTTCTGGATGAATATATGGAACAATTTTCCACTTGGTCAACTACTAAACCAATTTCCGTTGGCTCAGGAGTTTGGGGCTAGATGCAAAGTCTAAAAATTAGAGGCAGACCTTTGAGGAGTGAAATTAAGGAAGACTTCTACAGAGAAGGGGTGGTAGATATTTGGAACTCTTCGCAAATTGATGTTAGATCAACTATTCATGCTAAATCTAAGACTAATAGCGGACTGAGACAACAAGGTGTAGAGCTGGATGAACATAGCAGGCCAAGCAGCATCAGAGGAGCAGGAAAGCTGACGTTTCGGGTCTAGACCCTTCTTCACAAATGCTTTTCGAAACATCAGCTTTCCTGCTCCTCTGATGCTGCTTGGCCTGCTGCGTTCATCCAGCTCTACACCTTGTTGTCTCAGATTCTCCAGCATCAGCGGTTCCTATTATCTCTGATGGAGGACTGTTGTCCACATGTCATAAAGGATGTTGCAGGTATATGGAGTTAGGATACAGATCAACCATAATCTCATTCAATGACTGAACAGGCTTAAAGGGCTAATTAGCTTATCCGTGCTCCTATCGACCATTATAGAAAGGATGATATCATGGACTATAAATCTTTGCTATATTTGATGTGCTCAGCAACTTCTTGTTACTACGTGAAGTAAATCAAATTGGCTAAAGACAGGCATCACTGCTGGTGTGAACCTGAGAGGTAGACTTAGATAAATCATCCACTTGAATGTTCAGGTTGAAGATGGTTGCAAATTCTTCAGCTTTCCTTTTGCCCTTGTGTCCTGGGTTCACCATCGCTGAGGAAGTAAGTGATTGTTCTGATCAACCTCATCTTTGAATTTTAATTCTGCAGGCCAAAGAATCACAAAAGCCCTCACCCGGACCACAACTTACACAGCCATCTGTGAATGGAGGATTAAGAGGTATCTCTTATATCATATGTTTGTAACGCATTGTCTTTCAGCTTGCTTTTCATGCCTTGTGCAGAAGAGTATATGATCAATCCTCGTCAAGCATGCTTTTTATAAACTATGGTTTGAGTCCGTAAATGAGACTGACATACCCCCTACACTGCTGCATTGCGACAACTGCAGACCTTCAGATGAGATATTAAACTGGGGTTGTAGCTGGCTTCACTCTAGGAATATTGATGATTTTGTCCCAGTATTCGAAGTAATGTAGCATGTTATGATATCCTGGCAGTGTGTGTACTTCATTCCATTCCACAGAAGAACTGGTGCCCTGATCTTTCACGGTGGGAATTGTTTATGGGTCATTGCAGACATCAAATAGATCCATTTGCCTCTGCAACACCAGTCATTGCACTTAAAAAAACAAGTAATTTCGTGTTAAACACTTCAATTTGTTTTAGGATAAAAATAAGCAGATATTACGTTAATATTGGAACTCCCACCATAGCCAGCAATGGTTGAAACAGTACTTCTCCCAAAAGGAAGAAACCTAATCCACATGTCCCTTCTTATTGCATTAATATATTTATTATATTTATCTATTTATTTATCTGCTGTAGTGTACTTATTATTACGCTAAAATTTAAGATATTCTGATTACTTTGATGGAAGTTAAGTTCATATAAACAATCGAGAAATGACTATTATTCTATTATGTACTAAATTGTAATACCTTTTGTCCCAATATGTATCTGCTTCCTCCCCATAAGATGTAAAAACTTTAACTATCAATTTTGAAGATCACTCTTAAGGTTGGTTGGCTGGCTCGCCGAGTTGTTCCGCAGACGATTCGTTGTCGTGCTTGGTAACATCTTCAGTGCAGCCTCTGATGAAGCGTCGGTGTGTTTTCCCGTCTGGTTTTAAACTCTGGGGTCTGTTGCGATGGATTGCCTCACTTCCAAGTTTCCTCCGTAGTGGAATGTATATGGGGTCGAGTTCAATGTGTTTAATAATAGCATGCTTCGTGGAGTGCCACACCGACGGAGGCAAAACACACCGACGCTTCATCAGAGGCTGCACTGAGAATGTTACCAAGCACGGTAACGAAACGTCTGCGGAATAACAAACCAGCTCGGCAAGCCAACCAACCTCAACATCCACAACCCGAGCTACAGAACTACTCCAAAAACCTTAGATCACTTTTAAGTTATACTTGTAGTAAAACAATTTAAATGTACAAATTGGCATGCTTGGATAGAACAACAAATACTTCATGTAAAGTCCAGTTTGCTCTCTTTTAGTACCACATACACAGTTTTTAATTCTGCACTACTCGTAATGCAAGACTGTACCTCAATAGGCTTTGTGTTGAAGAGGGCAAAACTCCTAAAAATGGTTGCCCTTCAAATATTTATCCAACATATGTTTTAAAGTTATTGTTGAATCTGCTTCCACTATTCTTTACACGTACCAGGTCATATCAATTTGCTGTGTTTAAAAAAAAAAAAAAAAAAATTCTCACCCTTCTGCTTCTTCTACCAATCTCCTTATATCTATGTTTTCTTGTTGCTCATCCTGCTGCCACTGAAAACTGTTTTTTGTTTCCCCATAAAACCCTTCATAGCTCTGCATACTATATTCGGTCTCTTCTTAGCCCCTCTGCTGTAGAGAGAACAACTCCAGTTTCTCTATTTTGTTTGGTGACTATAGCAGCAAGCTACTGTTTTCCTTATCGGCCCATCTAAAAGAAGACACAATACCACAGTTGTGATTTGTTGCCATTTACAGCACTGCTGTGAATGTAAATCACTTATCAGTAAAGTAGGGCAGCACTAATGGAAAGGAGGAGCTGTGACAGATTACTACAAATGTGGATGTTGCTGGAATAGAAGGTCAAGACTGTGTCCTGTGCCAGAATGCTGGGGCCACTGTCCAGTACACCTGACCTCACCTCCAAGAGTGCTTTCCTGCACAACCCTGTGCCACGGGATGTGGCACCAGACCCGTGCTTCTGCTGAAGGTGGTGCTGGATGAACTGTGGTCAAGTTGAGTGGCAGTGTCAGGGCCTGCAGAATTGCCTGTGTGGCAGTGGGATGGTGAGGTCCAGGACCTCTGCCTGGACACAGAGCATGCACCATCTCATTAGCTCTGGGAAGCTCCGAATGAGAGGCAATGACTTCACTTTAAAAGGTAAAACAAAGTAAAGAAGTGCAGGTGCTGGAGATCTGAAACAAAAACACAAATTGCTGGTAATTGCCAGCAATTTTTGATTTTGTTTCATAACTTTAAAAGGCTTCTGGACATCAACAGGCTGCAGTCTGGGTGAAGGAATGGCAGGCTAATAAAATGACAGGCTATCAATAAAGAATTGAAAAGCTGGGTGTTCGAGTAGTGGAGCGGTGATATGGAAATGTAAATTTGGATGAAAAGTTAAAGACCACTCTCAACCGCTTCCCCGTGTGATTTTTTTTCTCTCTCTCTCTCATACACACTTACTTTCTGTTTCCATACATATGGTGCCAAAAGACCTCCCATATATCTCTTCTTAAAAGAATATGCCAGCTGTAGCTTCGAGGTCACGCTAAGCTAATCTCTGCAACCAAATTGTTGACCAGCACACAGATGGCAACCAGTTCCCTGAGCAAATTAAACATCAGAAAAGTCCTGAGATTTCAGATACCTCTTGCAAGATCATGAGTGAGACTGAATTTGACTGAGAAATCACAAGTCTTGCAATCAGTTTGGGAGAGCTGGTACAAAAGCAGAAGTTGCTGGGAAAGCTCAGCAGGTCTGGCAGCATCTGTGAAGAAAAAAGTTAGAGTTAACTTTTCGGGTCTGGTGCTGCCAGATCTGCTGAGTTTTTCTAGCAAGTCTGTTTTTGTCCCTGATTTACAGCATCCACAGTTTTTTTTTAATCAAGAGAGTTAGTACATTTGTAACTGGATGTTGAGTCTGTTTTAGGTAAGGAGCCTGTACAGATGTTTAGCCGAGACAAGAACACCAACCAAACAATCTGCTACACCATGTGGGTTCAAATATTATCGTAATGATTAGAACTTGTTGTTCCAATAATTTGTAATACAATGTATCCTGACTGGCTGATTTTCTTCTATGATTCAAAGCAGAACAGAATCCCACCAGCAGAACAGAATCTTCTTTGTTCATTGGATATCTGTTGACAGGAAAGGCATTTAGTTAAGCAAGTGGTGGCATACCTGAGCCCTGGTATCTTCCCTCTCCTGTAAGAACTTAGTTCAAGGTGGGAAGGTCAGTAATTGATTTTCTTATTCTGCTGCCTATTGAGACCCTTAAACGGCTCATTTAATGGCCACGTAAATGGCCCACCACAAATGGGATTAATGTAGCTGCAGACAGACCTGTTACCATGTGGCATGTAGAGCAGCTGAAACATGTGCTAGCTAACCACATTAAGCAGTTGTGGATGAGACAATCAGCCTCTAATTGAGGGACAAGACATCAGGAATTGGGGGGGGATCCTGCTGAGATCATGTGCCTGCCACTGCTACCAATTTCCTGCCCCTGACTACTTTTGACCCCCATCCTGTGATCTCACCCGTTTACATTACTTATCTGTGGCCAATGTTATTCTGAAATCCTGGGACTCAGTAGGTGTTTTTCCTAAGGCTACTACGGCCTCCCTGGGGTGCTGCTGAGCACAATAACAAGAGATTTCTGCCCCTGTGGAAAGCCAATCAACTGGTCTTGCCCCTGATCTGCCTTGATATGAGAATGGTAAACATTCTAGAAAATTAAGTTTAATACTGAAGATGCAACTAACCTTGCATAGTGTATGTAATATGACATTTGTGAAATCTAATTTCCTTCTGGGGAAGAAGTACAAAATATTAACACCAACTCGCATTTATTTGTTTAATTGATTATGCAATATGCCCCAAGGCACTACACAGTCAAGTAAAAAAAACAAACATTAGAAAGAGATATGACTGGATAAGTGACAAAGTAGGATACTTATGGAGTTAAAATGATTGGATAGCCAATGAGCACTAGCAGTGTTTGAGTGGAACTTAATAAAAGAATTGATATAGGCAATGGCTTTGGATAAGTCAATGTCTTTTGGAGGTTGAATGACAAAAACCCAACCAGAAGGAATTGGGATAGTCTGCTCTGAAAATGAAAGTGGGTAAGAGTGTTTACTAATGATGACCTAAGAAGGAAGTGATGTTGTGGAGTGGAAGAGGATTGTGTATTGGAGAGGGTACGGGGTCAGAAATTCAACTGTGCATCAAGTAAGATGCTGAGGTTGTAACCAGTATGATTCAACCTTGCATAATTGCCAGGAGGGAAAATGCTATTGATGTTGTACGGAAGAATTTTGAGGTGGGGCTGAAAACAATAAATCTAATCATCCGTGTTTAATTTGAGGAAATTGAACCACATCCAGAGTATCAGATGCAGTCTGAAATGGTGAAAAGTAGATGGGTCAGAGAAGTAGGGGTGATGACATACAGTGATACAGCTGGTTAACGTCATTGTACATGTGGGACCTGACCCAGTCTCTTCAGATGATATTGCTGAGGGGCAGCAGATAATGCAGGATTTATCTTATTGGGACCCACAGTTTTGTAGTCTAAATAAATTGGATTGCATTGATTCTTAACATCCACAATGTTTCTATTAGTTTTGAGGATCCTTTATTACAGATGATTGATATTGATTCTAATGGTATACCACATTGGAATACACCTGAACCTATGACATTTTTTCCCTTTGACATAACATACAACAGTGAGAAAATGTATGTTAAACTAACGAGTGAATCATTATCCTATCTGTTGCTGAAGATTTCTATTAATAATTCTGTTTAGTTACTTTGTAAAATTATCTGGAATATTGACTTAAGCAATTTAAAACTGTTAACAGAAATGTATTAATTTAATTTACAAAAATTGAATTATCAAATAGTTTGTATTAAATGGCTTTGAACTTAAAGAACAGACTGTGTGCTAATTTAAATTAAATAAGAATTTGAC